TCGTTATTTACTTTTCATTTATTTATTTATTTATTAATGTTTGAAAAAGGGCCTCGACTTTGGGATATCATAGTCAAACTGATTGTTTATTTATTTATTATAATTCGTTATTTACTTTTCATTTATTTATTTATTTATTATAACTCGTTATTTACTTTTCATTTATTTATTTATTTATTAATGTTTGAAAAGGGGCTCGACTTTGGGATATCCGATATCATCGTCGAACTGACCAGCTCCATGAAATTCAGATATTTCATTCATCTGGTTCCATCTGCCCGTTTGTCTGTAGAGCTCAGTGGTTAGAGTAAATAGCTGTTAAACCACCAGTACTTGGCCCAGCTATTGCAGCCGAGCCTGGAAGTGCCCTGTGCGCCGTTTCCCGCCGAAGCGCCAATTCCACTTTTGTTTTCGGAAAGGCTGGCGGCGCCAGCCTTCTAGGTCCGGTTGCCCAAAGCGCAAACTTCGCGTAGCGTTAACGCTAAGGCCCGCGGCCGATATATGGGCCAAGTACTGGTGGTTTAAGAGCGCCGATGGGAACAATTTTTTGACACAGTTGATCGTGGTATGATGTATGTATGGTGTCATCGACAGAGTCCACGGCCATATGGCCGGCGTGGTCTATATTTCCGCACTTCATGGGTGTCCACTGAGTGGGGATGGAAGCGGCTGTACGCTCGGCCTGGTCTTTACTTCAGCACTTCATGGGTGTGCGCTGAGCTGGGTAGGGAATGTGGCGAAGTAAGAGCAGTGCCTTGTCAGCATCCACTGCTATTCCCTTTCTCATGCCCCGCCTCCACCTCCCATGTCACCATCCACGTCGTGATCTGGCGCATCCTCCTGATCAGGGCACATAGTTGTCTTCCTTGTCGGCGAAGATGTTGTTCTTCTCGTGGTGCGTATCTGCCCCAACTGGAAAGGAGGTGCCCTTTTCATTTTCGTTCTCATTGTTGGGATCGTCATCATTAGGGTCACATCGTCTTTATCTCGATATTTGTCACCGGTTTGTCCTTTGCTTTTCTTGTCCGTGTGTTTTATATTGGCGACAGCATTGATGTATCATCATTGATCGTCTGGTTGCATCCTGATTCGAACTCGGGTCCGTATTTCAAGACGTGGTTGGTGTATTAAGTGAGCTAGGACCGTCCGTCTTCTTTCCCTTTCCCTTCTTGTTCCTCTCATCCTTAGTAGCGTTCGTAAAGACTCGCCGCTTTTCGTCGCAGTCCTTTGCTTCATCGTCAAACACATT